CCGGAATCGAGCACCACTTTTCCTCCCGATGTGACTGATTCACCCTACTACACCGAAGCCCATGGGTACGTGACTCCACGGTACGAAGCCATGAGAACCGACGCTGAAGTACGAGAAGAGGACGAGCAACGGCGTAGAGAACATGAACGATGGCAGGAGGAAGAGGCAAGACGAAGGGAACAGGAAGAAGAACAGCGAAGGAAGCATGAGGAGCAAAGGAGATTGATAGAAGAACGGAGATTGGAGGAGGAGAGGCTGAGAGAAATTGAGGAAAAGAGGCGATCGGAGGAAGAACTGGAAAGAGAGCGAGCCCGCATAAGGGATGAGCGGTTGCGATTGGAAGAACAAGCAATAAAAGATCATGAAGACCATGTCAGAGAACATCGCCTGAGAGAAGAAGAAGAAAGGAAAAGATTAGAAGAAGAACGACGGCGTCTGGAAGAGGAACAGAGAATAGCTGAAGAGGAGCGCTGGATAGCGGAGAGAGAACGTATGGAAAAAGAAAATGAAGAAAAGGACAAAAGATACGAGGAGCACCGTAGAAAGGAGGAAGAGTTGAGGGAAGAGGAAAGATTAAGGGAAGAAGAAAGACGAAAAGAAGAGGAGCTACGGAGGGAAGAAGAGCGAAGACGTAATGAAGAGCTTAGAAAAGAGTTGGAAATGCGAAGAGAAGAACAAAAGCGTCGAATGGAGGAGTTACAGAAGTTGGAGGACCAAAGAAGGCAAGAGCTCGCAAAGTTGGAAGAAGAACGCCGACTGTGGAAGGAGAAACTGAAAGCAGCTGAAGAGGCTGGAAAAAAGACGCAGCTCCTCCATATCATTTGCCATGACGGTGAAGTGATTCGAACTCCTGAGGCTCGAAGAGAGTTCTACACTGACGGCAGGGATCCATGCGAAGAGTCGAAAAACGTTTAGCATTGATTGAACGAGATCTTACTTACAGTTGTTTTAGAAATCTCTGTGATTATATGTGCCGTGCTTTCAGTTTTCAGTTATGCTGCCGAAATAGGAGCTGGATTGCTCTGTTTTCACTGTTTGCTTTGTACACGTGCTATAGAAGCAGATTAATTTTGTGAATAGGAGTAAATATTAAAGAGAATTATAATATTTCCCTACACCCTAGCTGTTCCGAAATATCAATCAGTCAAGAGATTGTTATTGACGGGTCAACCATCCCGTGCCAAATTTGATTCTCGGAATATTGCTGTTCCAGAGCCTCATAAAAATCTAAATATTGCACAACACAAAGATGCACCCTATCTGATTTGAGAAGAACAGAAAGCTTGGGGAAAAGATCACTCGCCGCGAAGAATTTGGTTGCAACGAAGAGTGGTACTCTGCGAGTGCGGGCCGGGATGCGAAAACCACGGAGGAAACCGGGATTAACCTGAACTATCCTAAAGACATGAAGCACAATAGTTCGGTACTCGGTATGAAATAGTACCAGAGGTGCTAGGTGGGGAAATGGCGAAAAAAGGAAGTGAAAGGGTTAACAAGTTTTTGTTCTCCATGACTCAGAAAGCAATTTCGAAGGAATTCCCTCTTGACGTCGTGCCATTCACCGCTACATTAGATACGGCTGCATGTATGTACTCATACACTTCTTACCCCTGAGACGGAGTAGGCGTGGCTTGAAGATGGCATAGAATGGGTTACTCGTGGAATATTTCAGTTTGAGACAACTGTCATCTTGTTCTGTGTTGGACAGAGACATGATCACAATCGGTCTCAAATTGAAAATATTCTCACAAGAACTTTGACCGCTGATCGTTTAGAGTCAAGTACGCAGCCACGCCCACCGCATCTCGGGGATTCGAGTGTATATCCATGCAGCACCATAGCCGCTTCAAATCAACCCCTTCGCTTCATATTATACTTGTGCGACACGAGCACCAGCATCGGTCGGACATTTGTGGGCGGGCGGGTGCGGTGGGCGTTCGGGTCGGTATGCTGTCTTAATAGGGCGCTATAATGGTGCTTTCTTTGGAGAAAGCGCCACGCAGCGCCTCACCAGGGGCGTGATTTCTGTCCTGCTAGGCGTATCAATCCCACACGGCTTGAGAACTTATCGTGCCACTTCCCTTTGACTTGAGAGTGTCCGTAGACGTGATAAAGGTCGCCTGGCTGAGTTCCAATCTCCATTCCCTACGTTCACTTTCCCCTGCGGTTCTAAAGACGGCGAATGTTGATTAAGAATTTCTGGAACCTCCTGCTAATTATTAGAAAAAAGGCCAGAACAGAACTATGGGGAGCTTATTCCTAACTCAACGGTTTCGCAGTTGAATTCATCAGTTTATCTATCGGAGTTTTGAGAAGGAAGCCCACTCACAATTAGAAAGGTACCGCATAAAGTGTTGTGACGCAACCGGTAAATGTTCCGTAAACTGTGAAACAACGTTTAGGGCCGAACTAACGTTTTTCTCTGCTTCCTGGCCTTCTTAGATGAATTGAGTCGTGTGGCACCCACTGTTCTCTTAGGTAAGGTAGTCGTCAATGGGCGTTATTCACCGCCTGCGACCCTGAGAACTGATGCATCGATAGGAAGAATAGGCAAACCCGACTCATCGGTTCTGCTGTTTCGCCAAGGGTACAACATCATCGGAAGAATCATCTTGACGAACCGTATTTGGTAGGGGGGGGGTCATATCTGGCCTCTATAGGAATATTCGACAGTCGCATCTGGCCCTGATAGCACGAT